AAATTATTACTATTCGTGTTATGATATCAATGTCGTCAGTCCTTTGACGTAGCTCCCCGTTTCCTTTTTTATCGCTAAGAGTTTGTTGTACTTAACATCGATATATCCAATTGTTGTTGTAAGACTCTCTCACGCATGTGGATATCGCCACTAATGATCTATATGCAGCCCAAACCAAATATAAGTTGGATTTTCTTTAAAATTTTTTCTTTGTCCTACTTGTCGATAATTTTCCAATTCTTTTAGCGTAATTTTATTTTCGCACAGTCGTCAACTATAAGAATGACATCGACCCCGAAACGGAAATGCTTTAAATTTCCACAAGGAATCTACGTTCCTGTAGTTGGCTGTATACCATATATTAAAAAATTTTAATTAAAAAACCTTTATAAAAGGTGTATATTTAAAAACCGTAACGGGCTAATTAAACAAAACGTTTTCGAAATCCATATTCCATCATCAGTGTCCTAGAAAATATATAACCACTTAATTAAAAAGGACATAAGGTTAAAATTTTGACAAAGGTTAATGCAAAATGTGGTTAATACTTACTAGGAGTACATAAATGTAGCCACTAAATATATGGGTAAAAACCCGTTAACAAACAATTAGTTACATTTGGTATACAATATTTCTGATAATATGTTAAGATGTTAGAGTTACCGTTGGATAAGGTATCATGGCGACATATGACTCCACGTTGAAGTTGCTAGTCCTGAGACGGTGTGTCTACAAGGACTGTATGGAAGCAACTGATTGGAATGACACTGTTGACAAGTTAGGGTGGACGTTGTAACAGAGCAGTCAATATAACTGTATGCGTCTATTTAAGACAAAAGCCAACATTATTTAAAATTGTGAAAGTAAAGTAAATAAATATAACAGTATCAACCATCATTGTTGTTGCTTTAAAATTCTGTATATAAGATGAGATGTGGGAAAAGAAAAATATGTGGTTATATTTAGGCAACCAACTATACATGTGTGCAGTAGTGTGGTGAAATAGAGATTTTAATATGAGGCCCTTTATGTTTCTACAACATTTGGTACCTTATTTTTCCAGGTAATAACTGTTAGTATCCACACGATAATAGTAGTCAAAGGTATACAAAAAGAGAAAAAGAAGCAGAAGAAAATAAAAATAAAAAAAAATCTGAGAATCTTTAGGTGTAATTAGTAGCATTAAATTTAAGCTTCTCATGACTGTATTTTCCTTGTTTTTTTTTTCTTACCAATTTTTTTTAAATAAATGATCAAATTTAAGTGTCAACTGTTTTAAATGGGGTCCATGGTATACTTTAAAGATAGTTAAGTATATAAAATTACTTTAGGATTTAACTGTTTATTAAACTAGACAGGTAAAAAATTACGTTAAGTTGAGTTAATAGAATGAGCAACAGCTCGTATTGTCAATACTCTTGGCAGACAACAAACCTTATTGTCTAGGTTTTCTAATATCACAAGTTTTTCACAATTTTTCCCCTAAAAATGAAATTTTAGAAACAAAGTAAACGAGATTTTATCTGATAAGTAAGGATTCATTGGAATTATTAAGGGATAATGAGTTAGTTATTTCGCTCCCCTGAAAAACTTCGAAAATGACGTTAAGGCATGTTGTTCTGACAGTGACGACATGTAACTGCTTTGCAAACTGCTTCAAGCACGTTGTATGAAATTACTCACTTGTTTATAGATCTGATTTTAATATTATTGTCGTTTTCTACTTTAAACCCTAGGGAAAAATTTTAAATAGTTAACTATACCTACGATAAAATAAATTTGTTTAAATATTGATGTAGAAAATTACAGATATTTTATTATGTAATGAATTTTAAATATAATTGATGTATTTTAGTTTCCTTACCAAAGGAAACAATCCTTCCTTTTTCAGATACATTTTTAAACAATATAATTCCTACAAATACAAACAAAAGCATTAATTGTAAAAATGTAAACTAATAATTCAACAATACATCTTATTTGTGTATAAGGTGGAATTACACAGCCATATGATGAATTACGAGCCCAGTATGAGTTTTTAGATATTATTTTTATGGCTGCCGACGCGACGTGGGTTGACATAAATGTGTGCACAATTTCGACAGTATGCGGATAAATTTAGACATTTGGTAATGGAGCATTATATCAGTCTATATACCACCGTGTTTGGCTGATTTTCCGATAATCATACTCGTAGCTCGCTCGTGGACTCGTGATCAAAGTTCGTGAAGGTCGTTCGCAAACTATTTATTTTATTATATATGTTTATTATCACACAGTTTTTTGACATATTTATGATTTATCATATATATATTAAAACTAGAGCTAAGATTAATACTATTAAGGCTGTTTTATCGGTGCACCAAAACCTAGGGACTGTTATTTACCGACAAAATTTCTCGAAATTTGAACACAATATTCGAAATTATGTTGCTTTTAAAATGACGGTTTTATTTTTTTGAAAGAATGGAGAGTAATACATTTCTTGTCATTAAACTACCCGTTGGCCGGCACCACTGAGTAAAGATAGTCTTAAAACAGCCTTAAAAGAATTAGTATTAAACTCAACAGTCTTCCGGGTTGAACCGCGTCGATTATCATTGTGCCGAGCTTTCGACATCCTCTTTGATGTCTTCTCCGGGGCTTCCGAGGACTCAGTTTCCCAAACCCCCAGACACTACTACACTGATCACTAACCAATGCATTACTGTTGCTTGGAAGAGATGACCGTTCATTTATACCGCCGATGGTGACGTTGTTTGGGTGGAGGTTGCGTGGAGATTGGCGTAGAGGTTGGCGCGAACATTTCTGACAGTAGCAATTTGATTTTCGGGTAGAGCAGACGATATTTTCTTTATAAGAGGCCTCCATGTCGAAGGTAACAGTATGCCGTCATCTCTTTTAATGAGATAAGTTGGCCTTTTTTCAATTTCTATGGCTTCTCGGATATTTCTTGGTTTATAGAAGCGGAGGATATAATATAGTTCTGCAGTTTTCAAAATCAATGAAGATTTTGTGCAAGAAGTGACCTATATCAAGATGGTGTTAATCTAGAGCTGAAATTAAATCAGAATTGGAATCTTCATAAATCCTATTTTGGATTCTATGATTTCTTTGAGGAATTTCATAAACTCCGTGTTGTTCATTTGGAAAGTTGTCTTTGATTGATCGGACAAGAGATGGCAGTTTTTGTTGGGGCTTAAATATTGTCTTCATTTCTCTTGATTTAAAATTTAAAATTTTTTTCGATTTTGTAAAACTTGTCTGATCAATCGAAGAGAACATTTTAAATGAATAACAGGGAAGTTAATGATATTCCTTGTGCAGACTGCCCTCGATTCTATATAGGCCAAACAAAACGTAGAAGTTCAAATAGGATTTATGAACATTCCATTTCTTTTTCTATTATTCTTATTTTTCTAAAAAATATTCTATCGAGATAAAAAAAAAACCTATCTCCTACGTTGGACCAACAAATACACTTTCACAAAATTTTATTGCAATCGGTTCAGTGATTTTTGAATATTAGCTTCGTGACATGAGAGTGGTGGGTTTTTTCGGTCAAAAGGTGGAGAAAAAAGACAAAGAAGGTGGCTACTTCATCTATTTATTGAAGACGTTTCGCTTTCTAATCAGAAAGCATCATCAGTTCATCTAAAACGAACAGTATGAAAAACCAAACATCCAAACCAAACATAGAAAACTTATTACCTTAAAACAGAAAAGTCTGTTACCTAAAAAAAATATGTAGCAGTCAATGATATTAAATGTGTAAAAAAGCTTACGACAATGGACATTATGAGATCAAGTTATATAAACAATTAATTGAAACTAGATACAGTTTACAAATTAACAAACTTAGCACAGCAAAAGAACATGTGGTAATTGTACATGTATATAAAAAATTCATGTTCTCTCAACCAATCACTGGAGGGAAAATTGTAATAATTGTAAACCACCTTTTCCTTTTAGTTTTTGGTTTTTTACTGACAAATTGTCACCCAAATTTATCATATTCTTTAAATGTACTGCTCTATTGCACTAGAGGTTATTTCAATCTTAATCTATTCAATAATGTTACCTAAAGTCAAAATTAAATTTAACTAATAATACACTGTTGGAAGTGCATCTTATGATCTTTTCAGTTATCTGCATATTAATATTACTGTTTTTACTTAAGTTTTTTACATACATTCTTTATATACATGTACAATTACCATATGTTCTTTTGCTGTGCTAAGTTTGTTAATTTGTAAACTGTATCTAGTTTCAATTAATTGTTTATACAACTTGATCGCATAATGTCCATTGTCGTAAGCTTTTTTACACATTTAATATCATTGACTGCTACCTGTCTTTTTGAGGTAACACACTTGTAATAACTTTGCTATGGATGTTTGGATTTTCATACTGTTCTTTTTAGATGAACTGGTGATGCTTTCTGATTAGAAAGCGACTCATCATCAATAAATAGATGATGTAGCCACCTTCTTTGTCTTTTTTCTCCACCTTTTGACCGAAAAACCCACCACTGTTTGAGTAATCCTTAATATATATTTATATAAATACATACATGTATACATATATTATTATAATCCAAAAATGTAGAAGAATTAAAAAGACAGTGAAAAAGTAGAATATTGCAAGTGCGATCCTGCCGAAACGTTGTCAAACCCGGAAAATCACAGGAAGCACATGTAACTCCCGCGGAAATTTCAAGTATAACATGTCCTCATTATTATTATTATTAGAATAAAACATTGAAAAACGACCGATCTACAAAGATGGACCATTTCCCTTATAACATCATTGAAATTATCAATTATTTCATAATTCAACTCGGATTTGGCATCACTTGATTTTTGTTATTCTTGTCCATCAAAAATAACTTGTCAGCGTGGTTGTAGATTGTGTAAGATTAAAAATTATATTTCTTTATTTATTTCCAATACTAACATTACACTGAACATTATTGTATCATCTTTTTTTGTTTATTACAGGACCTAATTCTTCTTGCGAAGACAGTGACACGGAATCTGAACCTGGAATCCCTCTAAAGCGCAAACAACGTAGATCTCGTACAACATTTACTGGTGAACAATTGGAAGCATTAGAACGGGCTTTCAGCCGCACTCAATACCCAGATGTATATACAAGAGAGGAACTAGCTCAAAAAACTAAACTAACTGAAGCAAGGGTGCAAGTTTGGTTCTCCAACCGACGAGCTCGACTAAGAAAACAACTAAACTCGCAGCAGCTTAATGCTTTCAGTGCAATATCTTTACAGTCTGCTTTCCCAGGAGTTCAGCAACACTATCCCGAAACAAACTTTAACCAAAGTTCTTGGGCTCAGCAATCCTATGTACCTTCTGCTATAAGTTCAACTTCTCTCCCAAGTTCTCTTCCTACTGGTAATATCAGTAATACAAGTACCAGTTCTGCAAGTACAACTACACCCTCGCAGAGTACGTTATACAATTCCTATAGCAACGGAAGTCATCTGGAACAGAGTGCTGTGTTGAACTGTAGTAACCAGTTTGGCTACAACACATCCCAAGTATCACCCAGCCATCACAGTATATCTCCCCAACAAAGTGCTGTATGGTCACGTCATCCTCAGAGTAACAAAATGACTGAAAATATCTCTCCATCTTGGCACGAGAATTATAGGTAAGCTACATATTTATTATCCTATGGTTTTACTTTCTCAGGTATTGCGACATTTTATTTAAAGTTTTTGAGTGTTTACTGTTTTGTCTATAGATTCTGCAGTGCTTTTATGGCAAGTAATCCAGTTATTTCGTTAAAACTGCTTAGATGTCTTGTATTATTTATACTGCTCTTCCCACTTTTAACAAATCAGTGAAAATAAAAGAATAGAGAAAATATCTTGAATTGACTTGAAAGCGTAGGTATCTGGAAAAAAAGAAAAAATATATTTTATAATACGCCTTACGTAATTTGTGAATTTACTATGTTAATACCCATTTTTATAACCTTTTACAACTTTTTAATAAGTATTAATGTAAAAAAACATTAATTTAACGATCTTATGAGATCAACCTCAATTAGATAAAAAACATTCATGTTTCTGTGTAAAACAACCTGCCGACAATAATCATGATTAACGAAGACAGAAAATTCTTAGTCGAGGTTTATTCTTAAGCCTAATTTCATCACCTTTATTTTTATCTAACTACGGGGTAGAGGTGAGACCAGTTATTTTTTATTACTCTATGTAAACGTTAATTTTGCTCCAGATGTCATTTCTGTTACAGTTTTTTATAATATGCATTTAAGATAAAATAAATACAAAAAATAAATGAAAATTTCGCTCACTTTTATATCACTTAAGCTCAGATATAACAATAAATGATTGAAATAACAGTGAGAACGTGAAAATGTTAGCTAAGAGTTTTTTAATCGTATAGAAGCAAATTTAATACTATGATATTATATACCCCTTTCTTTAGACATCTCTGTATGGCGTAAGTAAATTAACATGAGTTAGGTACTATCCAGTGACGGTATTCTCTATGTATTATTGCGGTAGGTCTTCTGGCCCCACTTTTTTTAGTTTTCTGTCGGTAAGTGGTTGGGTAAATAAATTATTAATTAGTTCGTTATTGTAATTAGTGATGCGATTTTTCTATTTTATTGAATGATTCTTTATTATGTCCTTAAGTAGTGGGATGTCCAGATCATTGTGAAAAGTTTGGTTAGATAAAAGGTTTACTGCAGCCTCATAGTTCTTCACTGTGGTCTCTCGGATACTGTGATATACACGATTTTAGAGTGTGAGCGTTGGGCGGATGAAAGAGAGAAGTTTGTAAGAGAGTGTAACTGCAGAATGTTTGATTTCGTGAGAGAAATGGTGGAGAAAATGATGAGAGATGAGTAGTGGTGGACACAGATCCACAAATTTATCAGGGAGCTGCTCTGAAAGTCTGAAAATAACCACGCCCATAATGCGCATTCGTCATCCGACGGATCTCGCACTGAGCACTGAGCGTTCACTTAATATCTACCGTTTGTGACGTGAACAAGTCGGTACAGTCTACGAAACATTTTTTTGTAAGTACGAACCGCAAAGGAGAGTCATTTCCAAATTTGCAAATCTGTGTTGTGTACCTATATTAAACATGGAGTTTAAATCGAATCTGAAGGGAAAAGTTTTAAATAATCAGACACAGGAATTGATAGCAAATGTGATTCATTTTATGATAAAGGAAGCTAAAGACAATAAACCGTGTAAAGATTTGAAAAAAGTGCAGGAGCGTGTGGTATTGGCAACAGGTGATAGCTTAAGCAGCGTTCAAAAAATTATTTGGGAAATGCAATTAATTGAAGACGGCGTTTGTAATTCCAAAGAAAAAGAGGAAAAAAGTACTTCAAAAACATGCCTGGACGATTTTGATATAGGAAGTCTTCGACGTTATATAATGGATTTTTGTATAACACAAAAACAAGTGCCAACTGTGAAACGCATACACAGAACATTTGCAGAGGAGTACAACTACTCAGGTTCCATAGAAAGCCTACGACCAGTAATTAGAAAAATGGGATTTCGTTGGCGATAAACTAGAACTAATAAAAAATTATTAATAGAAAAGCCCAATATTCAACATCTTAGACTGAATTTCTTACATAGTATGAAACGTTACAGGAACGCAAATCGCTCAATTATATACATGATTAAAACATACGTCCATTCATGTCATTTCTACCAAAAGAGCTGGTCTGATAGTTTAAACAAGGGCCTACAAAAACCAGTATCTAAAGGACAAATGCTTGTGATAGTGCATGCTAGAGGTAAAAGTGGTTTTCTTAAAAACGCTTATCTGCGCTACAAACCTACTATAGAAACAGGAGATTATTATGATGCAATGAACTAGGACAATTACAAAAAGTGGCTTCAGGATGAGCTGATACCAAATTTGCCCCCGAACAGCGTTTTAGTGATTGACAATGCATCGTATCACAACGCACAAACTGAGAAATGTCCAACAATGTCTTCCAGAAAAGCAGAAATGTAGCTGGCTGACAACTCAAAATATTTCGTTTACAAATGACATGTTGAAATTTGAACTATACGACATTATAAAATTACACAAACCTTGCTTTAAAACGTATGAAATTGACAAAATACTCGACGATAAAGGACATTCAATTTTACGGTTACCCCCGTATCACCCGGATTTGAATCCTATAGAGTTAGTATGGGCTTTATTAGAATTTTTTAATTCGTTTTGTAACAAATCTTAAAAGCAAGTAAAGCGGTGGGTTTTCTTAATGACACAATCTGGAAGAAAAAACACCTAAGATAAGACACAAAACCAAGAATCTATAAAGCAGCAATTAGACCTATATTATCATGAAAATACTCCGACGAACATCAGGGAGAAGTCTGTTGGATAGAGAGAGAAGCGAAAACATAAGAAGAGCATGCAATATAGAAGACATAAATGGATGGGTGACAAAACGAAAACAGGAGTGGAACGAACATATCAGTAGAATGGCACAGGATAGAATAGTACGAATAGCACGAGAAAACTCACCAAAAAGAAGACCATTTAGGTAGCTTATATTGAAGAAGAAACAAGCCTTTAAAGTCTACATACTAGAAGGAAGAAGAAATGTAACGGACCCGTAACTCTTCAAAAATCCGAAAAAGGATAAAAAGTTTAGAATTTTATTAAGACTTAGAGCGCTGGTGATGATAATTTAAAAGAATCCATTTTAAATTACAATGAAAAAAATATTATTCAAGAAAAAATTGTTAAAAAGATAAAAGAAGCAGAGTTCAATCTTGGGTGGCGAGACATTTGAGATATCCACAGTTGAACAATTATCGTTGTGTATTAGATTAGTATTTATTTTACTGGTAATAAACCAAAAGTATGAGAATATTTTATAGGATTTATTCCTATGTATGTTAACTCGCGAAAACATCGCAAAATCTATTTTAGAATAAATTATAAAACTTGGATTGGATATGAATGATGGTATAGGCCCAGGATATGACGATGCCTATAGCATGAATGGCAAGTATAAAGGTGCCCAAATCAAATTTCACGATATAATGTAAGAAACTGTTTAGATATAACCAACCAAGTAATTAATTTTTTCAGAAAAATGCTCATGCTGCAAGACTCTACAAGAAGCAATTCAAGTTCACATTTCAAAATGTAAAAGTTTTAGTAGCTTGTACCAAAATAGGTTTATCTGAACCTTAACTGAGATGTTTGAAACTATCTTTATCAGCTTCGAAGAAATTTCTCAATCCCGTAGCGAACGCTACGGGATTGAACGCTATGGGTTTGTGAAAAGAGCTTAAGCGTTATCCTTCCATTATCCATATTTATTTAAAGTTTTTATTACGATTTCGTTAGTTTACTAAAGATTTAAGAAAATTCCCGAAATTAAATTTGAAAAATTCTAACTTATTTCTCCTTCTAAATTATCTAAAGATATTTTTCTTACTGAGCTACAAATTCCAAGAATTAAAAAGAAAAAGACTTGTTGGGATAACCATCCAACAAGTTCAGTTAAAAAATATTTTAGAGCATCAAGGTTCATTCTATGTTTAGACAAGCTAATTTCTAGTTTAAAAGAAATATTTATCAACAATGAAGACATTTTGACTGTATTACAAATACTTCTTGCTGGTTTTGCATCTCCTGATAAAATTAATCAGTTATCTACATAGTTTTTTAAACAAATATATAGGGTCAACAAGATCAAGAGAAGCATGGAAAACGGTAAAAAATCTGAGAACAAACAGAAAAGAAACGAGTAGAATAGATTTAATAGAAGAAAAATCTTGGATCGAACACTACTCACAACTTTTAACTGAAACAAGACCTCAATTCACGAACATCAGTACAACAACATATGAACTGGAATTCAGTGAAGACGATGAAATAACAGTACAGGAAGTCGAGAATGCAATACGAACTCTAAAAAATGGGAAGTCATGCGGACCACAAGGTATACCAAATGAATTATTAAAACATAGCCCACAAGTATTACGGGAATTACTGGCGTATGTCTTCACCTTATTCTATAATGGACACGACTTACCACCGGAGTGGACAAAAGCACATATTAACAACATATACAAAAAAGGAGATAGAAAGAATTGTTCAAACTATAGGGGGCTAAGTGTCATAAATTCACTCTCAAGACTGTATGGAAAAATAATAAAAAATAAAATTGAAAAAGAGATGACAGATGTAGAAGAACAGAATGGCTTTCGTGCAGGCAGATCCTGCATGGACAGTATATTCTCTCTAAAGCAAGTTATCGAAAAAAGATTAGCCCACAACCTTTCAACTCATATAGTCTTTATAGATCTGACAAAGGCATACGATAGTGTACCACTTTCAATGCTTTGGGTAGCAATGGAAAAACAAGGAATAAGCAAAAAAAATATACAAGCAGTACAACAGCTCTACAAAAATATGACGGCAAACATTAAAACTGGAAATAGATTAACTAGAGAAATTCCTATTAGTAAGGGCCTAAAACAAGGTGCTGCATAGCACCTACACTCTTCAAAATATATCTAAATGAGGCACTCTCACTGTGGAGAAGAAAGTGCTGCAATATGGGCGTCCCAATCGGAGATGATAGATTGTACACGATACATTTCGCTGATGACCAAGCCA